GAGCCAAGGTTGCCTACCCCTGTCCTACACCATTCTGGACAAACAGTTAGCCAGTCTCTTCTTGAAAACCTCCAATGATGGATCACCCAAAGCTTTTGAAGGCAAGCCACTCCATTGATCGATTGTTCTCAGGTTTGATCTCTCTTTAACAAGCTTCCACCTACTACTTCTTGTCTTGCCCTCTGGTGCTTTGCAAAATTGGTTGACCCCCACCCCTCTTCTCTGTGACACCTCTCACGTACCGGAAGACAGTATCGTGTCACCCCTAGTCCTTCTCTTTGTTAGTCGGTGAGCTTAGATGATTCAGAAAGACAAAATTTTCCTTTTGAGTCCAGTTGCTAAGGAGAAAGTTCACTGCTTCTTGGCCTCTCCCTTCCAGATGTTTGGGATGGATCTCACACAGGCGCTTTTGAAAAGAACAAACTCCTCCAAAGGGGCGTTTGAAATACGTGCCTGTGGACGAGGGGCGTGCAACTGTCTCAAGCGGGGAGCTTTGTGTAACCTCCAAAATATTGTCGGAGTGCAAAATGAGCACTTTTGAGCACGCTGGAAAAGTTGGAGGGTTCAGAACGCACCGGAGAACGCACCGGGCAGGGCTATTCCAATATTCGAAGCAGAGCGTTTTGCGCCCAAAGCAGAAAACTTCGTGAAGTTTCGCGTTCAACATCGTTTCAGGGAAAAAAACCAACGTTTTGCACAATCCTCTGAAGGAGAAGCTGGTACTTCCCAGGTATTTTGAGGCTGCAATGCCCAGAATCCCTCATCATATCTGACTAACAAAGTTGAGTTGTGCCTTTTCGTCAAAATGTTAGAAAAGATGCTGTCAGCCTCCTGATTTTTTTGCCCTCAAAGACTAATCTGGCTCTCCTCTTACAACAGCCACATCTGGAGAGCCAACATCCTTTCCTGGTCCTTTTGTTTGCCGTGGCTTCCAGGATACGGCTCTCTTCAGCGGCTCTCACCTGCAGAACCAGGTGCTCGGCCGTGGAAGGATGACCCAACAGGCAACACAGTTACTCAACGGCTCAATCAGGGGTTTCAACAGAGGGGAAAGAGCAGAAAACAGTGGATGATTATGTAATGGAGGGACTTGGGTTTCTCCTTTTATGTAAGGGTGTGAGAATGCTTCCCCCGCCCCAAATCAGGGAGCCACTGTGGAGTGGGGAACAAATGTCCCAGCATGCATCCGTTCCTCTCCGTCAGCAGCTTCTCGGCTCCCCAAACCCCCCATCCTGAGGATAAAGGCAGAGAACCTAGACCGGCACAAGCCTGCCTGCCTACCAGCAACTCCTGGCCCCCAAAGCTGCAAGGCAGAGAAAGCACGACCCCCCCCACCCTTCTCTTCCAGCTGTTGCACGGAGAAAACCGGTGGGACTGACCTGTGAGCTCAGGGAGAACAGGGGCACTCGGGAGGGGGGTCCGCTCTACCCGGAATTCTAAAAAGGAAAGGAAAGGCAAGACAACTTAGGATGCTCCATCAGGTCCCCCCTGACACAGAAGGAAGGGTGGAGGAGGAAGAGGAAGAGGAAGGAGCGCAAAGGCAAGCACAGGAAATGGAAATCCTCAGAGGGACTGCCTGAAAACTGCGGGAGGAGGAACGCCCACCGGCAGCTTGCAAGGGGGCATTGCTCAGGGCTGTGGAGTCGGAGTCGAGGAGTCGGAGGAAATTTTGGGTACCTGGAGTTGGAGTCGGAGTCGGCAAACAATGCACCGACTCCGACTCCTACTAAATTTAGATTGGAATTTTAAAAAAAAGCAAGTTTAAATGTCCCAATTCACAAAAAGTTATAATTAATGACTTCTCTACTGTAAGAATAAAGACCAATGCATGCAGTGCCTCACGTAACCGCAAAACGAACACGTTACGTGACCGTGAAGAAGCATGCTTTTCATGTGCTTCACTATATGGCCCGCAACGCACAATTAGGAGCGGCAATACTTATACTTTCCATAGTGTTGTGTTCTGCTGTTACAGGGAACGCAGCGCCCATGGGTAACCTAGCCTCTCACTGATAAGGGATTAAGTAAATATCTTTTTTGCAGGACTAGAGACACTTGTATAAGTGAAGGGAATGGAGGGTCAATAGTTCAAGACTGAAGCTGTAAACCATTGGAAAAACTGCTGTCATTCAGCTAAGGCTATAAAAACTTGTAAACTCCGATTGTTAGCTTATTAATACAGAGGAGTCGGAGTCGGGGAGTTGGAGTCGGAAGTACAAAAAACTGAGGAGTCGGAGTCGGAACATTTATCTACCGACTCCACAGCCCTGGCATTGCTAGAAGTGTCCAGTGCTGCCGTCAGCTTTCAGGGTTCTTTGTGAAAACTCCCCGTCTGCTAATGTGCTCATGCACCAGACTGAATTTTAAGGCTGGAGAGGACGGGATACGGATGTCACTCAAAGAGGAAGTAATAGGCAAGCCAGAGCATTGCTCTCTCCGCTGGCTTTCGTGCCTCTCTTTGTTCAGAAATGCACCCCAAAATGCAAGACACTGACCTTTGAAAGCATGCACACTTTAGAGAAAATTGTGGGCTGAAGGGTGCACGTGAAGTGCTTCACCCTCTGCAATTTATTCAGAGGGTTTGGCTCCTCCTGCCGGATTTCCTCTCATGCCTCTGGCACTTTAAGCTTGGTAAAAAATACTCCTGTTTTGGAAAGGCAGTCACTCTGGGAAAAGATGCTTCTTAGCTGGGGGGTATAAGCAGCTGCAGAAGCAGAGACTCCAAAAGAGGGGCGTTTCCAATTGTCTGAAGGTGACAATTAGGTAAAGGAAGGCCACCATCCAATTGCTTTGGTAAATCATGCAGAAAAGTTGAATTAGATCAGTGTTTCTCAATCTTAGCTACTTAATGATGTGGGTGGACTTCAACTCCCAGAATTCCCCAGCCAGCGTGGCTGGCTGGGGAATTCTGGGAATTGAAATCCACAGGTCTTAAAAATCCATTAGCGTGCTGGCTCAGGAATTCTGGAAGTTGGGAGTGTCTGAATCTTAAAAGTGGCTGAGGTTGAGAAAGACTGAACTAGATGACCTCCGAGAGCCCCTGTAACTCTAGGACTCTGAGAATTTAACCAGAACCTGACAAAAGAAAAATACAATTCCTTTCCTATTTCACCTCCGCTTTAGGGGAGGCATTTCACATCCACCCA